GTCACAACACGACCGGGACACCATCAAAACATGACCGGGACACCATCACAACATGCCCGGGACACCATCAACATGACCGGGACACCATCCGCCCACCAGCTCTGACGGTGACCCGACGGCGCCCGTCCGCCTATTAGTTTTGCAAGACCCCATAGCATGGCTATTGGGGAATTAAACTATACCGGCATAGACCCCAGATAGCGTCCTGTAAAAACGCGTTATCGTTTTTTACTGTTATCGTTTTCTGGAGGCAATGCAAAAGTAGTGTTAAGGCGCGCGCCAATACTAAACTGCTGAGCACGGAGTTAATTCAACAGCCCAAGTGTGCAAGTGGGCGCATGTGGTCATGCGCAAACCTTTCAGAACGCCTGCGCGTTCTTACTCAAAGGGTGTGTTTCCTGCCGATAGTAACGCTGCTTAGTTTGCCACATAAAAGATGCAAGCGACACAAGGCACACCATCCCACTCAAAAACCTAAATCACATAACAGCATCCACGTCAAGGGCAGGCAAGAAAATGACAAGGCGGCAGCGGCAGCCAAGAGCGAAATCATGAACAGAGACGAACTTGGGAGACAAGGCGGCAGCGGCAGCCAAGAGCGAAATCATGAAGGAAGACAAGCTTGGGAGACAAGGCGGCAGCGGCAGCCAAGAGCGAAAGTATGAAGAAAGACAAGCTTGGGAGACAAGACAGCAGCGGCAGTCAAGAGCGAAATCATGAACGGCGACAAGCTTGGGAGACAACGCGGCAGCAGCAGCCAAAAGCGAAATCATGAAGGGAGACAAACTTGGGAGACAAGCCGGCAGCGGCAGCGAAGAACGAAATCATGAAGGGAGACAAGCTTCACAGACAAGGCGGCAACGGCAGCCAAAAGCGAAATCATGAAGGGAGACAAGCTTCACAGACAAGGCGGCAGCGGCAGCCACAAGCGAAATCATGGAGGGAGACAAACTTGGGAGACAAGGCGGCAGCGGCAGCCAAAAGTGAAATCATGAAGGGAGACAAGCTTGGAAGACAAGGCGGCAGCGGGAGCCAAGAGCAAAATCATGAAGGAAGACAAGCTTCGGAGACAAGGCAGCAGCGGCAGCCAAAAGCGAAATCACGAAGGGAGACGAGCTTGGGAGACAAGGCGGCAGCGGCAGCCAAGAGCGAAATCATGAAGGGAGACAAGCTTGGGAGACGAGGCGGCAGCGGCAGCCAAGAGCGAAAGTATGAAGGAAAACAAGCTTGGAAGGCAAGCCGGCAGCGGCAGCCAAGAGCGAAATCATGAAGCGAGACAAGCTTCGCAGAAAAGGCGGCAGAGGCAGCCAAAAGCGAAATCATGAACGGAGACAAGCTTGGGAGACAAGGCGACAGCGGCAGCCAAAAGCGAAATCATGAAAAGAGACAAGCTTGGGAGACAAGGCGGCAGCGGCAGCCAAGAGCGAAATCATGAAGGGAGACAAGCTTGGGAGACAAGGCGGCAGCGGCAGCCAAAAGTGAAATCACGAAGGGAGACAAGCTTGGGAGACAAGCTGGCAGAGGCAGCCACAAGCGAAACTATGAAGGGAGACAAGCTTGGGAGACAAGGCGGCACCGGCAGCCAAAAGCGAAATCAAGAAGGGAGACAAGCTTGAGACAAGCTTCACGCAAGCAACACGGCAGCGGCAGCCAACAGCGAAATCATGAGGGGGGACAAGCTTGGAAGACAAGCCGGCAGAGGCAGCCAAGAGCGAAATCATGGAGGGAGACAAACTTGGGAGACAAGGCGGCAGCGGCAGCCAAAAGCGAATCGCGAAGGGAGACAAGCTTCACAGACAAGGCGGCAGAGGCAGCCAAAAGCGAAATCATGAAGGGAAACAAGCTTGGGAGACAAGGCGCCGGCAGCCAAAAGCGAAATCATGAAGGGAGAATCATGAAGGGAGACAAGCTTGGGAGACAAGCCG